ACTCGTCACACACAATAATCCCCTCTTAGTTCAAAAGTTCTTGATACTAATGATTCTAAGAGATCTATTTCCCAACAAAGCCGTACCAGATATAATTAAATTTAGACAAAATTATCGATGGACATTGTTTCCTCTAAAGTAGGTAAAATTACAATAAGAGAGATTGAAAACGAGTCCCTACACTAAGTCTTAAAAAAGACAAGAAAAAGCTCTTTTTACCTGTAACTATCAGGTGTTGCTACATTTGTCAGTAGATGCTCAAAAATGAAAGAAAAAAAAACTGAAATAAAAAGTGAGTGAGGAGAGAATAAATGGTTAAAAAAAAAAAAAAGGTAGCTGTGACCGTATTATTCTTAATAAAACCAGTGATTCTGAACACACTTTAATTCTGTCAATCAGTTAAATTTAGAAAAACACTCTCAAATAAAAAAATACAAGCTAGTATTGTATTTTTAACTTTCTATCACGGCAAGAAAATGCTGAAAAGTTGTAAATTATCAATGATATGTCTTTCCTACTGGTAAGCAGTATTCCAGGCCCTCAGAATTGCTGGCAATGAAACCCAACCAAGAAAATTGAGAATGTTAAGACACAATATGCTTCTACTTACTCCAGGCTGACGTGTAAAATGGAAACAAAGGCTTTCTGATGCTTCCTCTACCAGAAAAAAATTTTTGAAAATTTATTCTTTCTATCAGTGCTTTAGTGTTATCTATTAGGCGGCCCCAGAAAAGTAGAGCAAAATCTGATGGTGATGGTGAAGGGAGCACAGTATAGACAAGTCAGCTAGGAAGTCTGTCATAAAAGTCAATGATTATCATTTCAATATAATGAAGAAGAAACATAAACAAGTACTAGCAAGTCTTCTAAGTAAGACATACAGGTAAGAGGCCACTATCAGCTCTGACAGCTAGGGAAAACAAATATACCCTCACAAACACATTGTTATATTAAAGCAGCAACCAATACTATGACCGTCACCATTTTTAAAAGGTGACATCAGTAGTAATGCTCTGTGTCTCATCCTTCTTTTCAGAAGCTGGTTACAAACCTGAGGTAAACCTAGTCGTTCTTCCTACAACCATGTAAAATAAAATCTGAATATGAAATTCAGCGTTCCCCATTCCTTTTCCTTGGTTTTCCTAATCCTTAGACCCAGCTCCCCAATACAGCCAACATCTGGCCACATCACCACTTACAAAAAAAGGAAGCGGGAAGCTGACCTAAGGACTCTCCACTGAGGTAGCAGATAGCATAAATAATGAACTTCTGAGTTCATCGTCCCATCAGATCCACTCAAAACGTAAGAACTTGCTATGCTATCGGTAAGCAGTGCATTGTTATTATATCTTTTTAATAACTATCTTTTCTTCCCTGGTGGCGCAGTGGTTAAGCACTCAGCTGCTAACTAATAGGTCAGCAGTTTGAACCCACCAGCTGCTCCACAGAAGAAAGATGTGGCAATCTGCTTCCATAAAGATTACAGCCTTGGAAATCCTATGGGGCAGTTCTACTCCGTCCTATAGTGTCGCTATGATTTGTAATCAACTGGACGGCAACAGGGTTGGTTTTTTGGGGGGCTTCCCAAAAGTATTATAAATATTGTGATGGTTAAGATTGTGTGTCAACTTGGCTGGGCCATGGTTCTCAGTGTTTATATGTGATCACTCCCATGATTGAATTTGCTGTGAGCAGCCCATCAGTGGAAAGGGAGTTTCCTTGAGGGTGTGGCATGCATCTGAATATAAGCAGACGTTCTGGCTTTTTGCTCGCTCTGGATCCTGCGGCTGCCTCCTATTCGTCTGACCTGTGGTTCTTGGGACTTGAGCTGTCAGCTTATCTACCAAACTTGGGATTTGTCAATCTTCACAGCCTGTGAGTGGAGCCCTGCTCTCTGACCTGCCAATCTTGGGTTTGCCAGCCCCCGCAGCTACGTGAATCAGGAGAAACCTTGTGGTCTTGCCTGCCAATCTTGGAACTCATCAACCTTCACAGCCTGTGAGCGGGAGCCCTGCTCTCCGACCTGCTGATCTTGGGCTCACCAGCTTCTGCGGCTGCGTGAATTGGAAGAGGCCTCTACTCTGATCTACGGACTTGGGACATTCTAGCCTCTACAATCGTGTGAGCTGTTTCCTTGATCTAAATCTCTCTACATATACGTTTATACGCTTTACTGGTTTTGCTTCTCTAGAGAACCCAGCCTAAGACAAGTATACATAAAGGAGTTTGATCCCAAATAAACTCCAAGTCTTCCAGAAAAGAACAGCTATCACAACCATAATTTGTTATTTCCTTATAATCCCTGGAAAAAGTAACTTTCATTCATGGGCATGACAAAAGCTGGGAAGCTTTCTTCAAAGGATGAGACTAGAAGGGAACATGTGACCCATACTAGGGTCAGATCAATAGCGGGGATCAGCTGCTACATACAAGAGACTAGCAAATAATCTTGAAAATATAAACATTTAAAAAATTATTTATCTTTCCAAAAGTTTTCAAGTTTAATATTATTTGCCTACTATCAAGCGAGGCAAGATGGAAAAGTGGTGGTAGTTGCTCCTATAATTACCACTAGTCTCAGAAAGGGAGACTAACGATTTGTCCTCCCCAATCCTGTAAGACTGATTTCGATGAAGAGCTGTGCTCTTTTCTTAGTTTGTTGTGTACTGGCAATTTTACACATCACAAGAAAAAAGGGAATAAATAACAACACCTGCTCTCCTTATTTCCCAGATGCGTCTGTGGAAAGAAGACGACAAACAACCGATACCCAGCTAGGGAAACCTCCTCACATCTCCAGGGGTAAACATAAGGGGAGGTCTTTGTGCGTACAGTTTTAAAAATCTCTTGAGATGATTCTGATTCACTCATACAAAGCTCCCCCTATCCGCTTTCTTACTCTTAAGAGCCTCACCATAATGCATGCAAAAGTGGCAAAGTAGATTTAGCATTAATAAAAACTCTGGCCACGATTCACACCACTAACACCAAATGATCTGTCAGAGGACCCAGAACAAACAGCACTGTGCACCGGCAAGCCTGGGATGGAAAGAAGGAAAGAGGGACGCGAGGGAGCAAATGACACCACTGGAAATACATATATAGCTTAAGAAGACAAAGCAAAGATGCCAGAAGGAATACTAATTTTAAGATCTTCTGTACTCACACTGCAAACTAAGAAAATAAACCGTTTAATCAACAATATATACTGTTATACAGTGAGTGTTCATTTCTGTTCTTAAACAGCATCCCTCAGAACCTCCATAAATTCTCATTTCTTTATCTGCATCCCTCCTGAACTATGTGATTTTACATAAATTTCTATATTTAAAGTGTTAAAAGTAACCTGAAGTGTGGAAAATAAAACTTGAAAAAATTCCCAGTAAGAAACAAAAGATTTTATTTTCAAGCTAATCAATTATAGTAAGCTTAAAAAAAAGACAAGCCCAAATACAGAATTTTAAAAAATCCCTTCACAATAATAAATTAAGTGCTCTTCCTTTATGTAAATTATATTGCCACACGTATTCTTCTACTAAGACACATTAGCTTTAAATTGTTTTTCTAAGAGTAGTAACACCTTCTCACTAATGTATGGTCCACAGCTAATCAACAATACACAGTTGTGAACTGGCTGGGATTAGGTGGGCAATCTGTGCTCAAGCAGACCCAAATGAAGCTAACGGCATGTCTGAAAAGTGAACCTATAACCTTTGTCTCATTAGCACTGTACTCCAGCTGTTAAAGATTCAAACACTAACTTGGATTTCTCTTTTTTTTAAGGCAGTGAAATACTAACAACAGGGAAAAAATTTATATAGTCAGGTCGATATAAAATGTCTACTAATGGAAACCAGCTGCAAGAATAAGAGATGCAGTTTTCAGTATTTGAGCCTGGTAGAATACTAATGGGTTTCTTCTATTCCAACTTTCCACTCTGGATGGAAGGCCCTTTAATTCATTATTCCCTCAGAGTTCCTGGCACTCCTCCGAATTACCTTTCTAAAATAACTGCTCTGGAGTCCAGATTACCTGTCCATTAGGAGATGTATGTTGTGGCTCTTTGAAGAGCTACTCAAAGACATGTCTCACATTAGAAGTCATTCATCCCCCAAAGGAAACCTGCAATCCAAACTCTGTTTGAATATGCGACCCTTAATACTTCTAGAATAGGCCTAATTCAAAGTTGTGCATTTTACACTTCACATTCAATATCAAGAATATATGCCAGTTATAAAATATTGTGATATTTTGTAATATCAAAATTGTTTTCACTATAATTCTATTCTGATTGTCAAAAACTTAATTCTATCATTTGGTAAACATTTTCTTCCCAAGCTTTGGTTAATGAGTCTTTCTCCCACAAAAGAAAAAAAACCAAACCCATTGCCATCTAGTTGATTCCAACTTATAGCGACCCTATGGGAAAGACTAGAACTGCTCATGTGGTTTCCAAGGAGCGGCTGGTGGATTGAAACTGCCAACCTTCTGGTTAGCAGTTGAGCTCTTAACCACCGCGCCACCTTTCTCCCACACAGCCCATAAATCAATTTAAAAATCATTTTCATGTGATCATCCTAATACTAAATATATCTCATCACCAATAAAAACAACAAAAAAGCTATATATGTATATGGGTTTTATTTTCCTGACTTAAGACTGCCAGTTCTTCCAGTATAGATCTGATGTAATATTTGGTTTGTAACTGCCTCTACGGAATTTAGAAAGAGGCTCTACCAATAACGAGGAAAACCATTCACGTAAGCTTTAAAGACTAGAAATAGATAAACACTTACTTCTCATGCCAACGTAACTCAGAAATCCTGGGGTTAGGTGGAAGAGAATACATTATGCCTAGAACCCCGAAGCCTGAGTAACATTTCTGTAAAAGATACCTCTGGCATCCAGCCATAAATGTAAGGTAGCAAGAATAGCTACATCAAATAACTACCAACTCAAAAACTATTATAAAATTGGTTTTAAAATAAAAAGAAACAAACCTCAATCTTGTCTGTTTTGGCATCTCCCCAGTATATTTTGCCTTCATCATAATCCAAGGCTAAACCATTTGGCCAACCAAGAGAAGTGTTAACCAGCACAACTCGGTCAGAACCATCCAGAGCGGCTCGCTCAATCTTCGGGATTTCTCCCCAGTCGGTCCAATACATGTACCTACAGAAGGATACAGAAAAGAAGCTAAAAACAGATAATAAAATATAACTTTCATGTATCTTAAAGGTAAGATCCAACCCTCATATCACATAGAAGAAAAAACAAGACTTAAACATACCAAAAATATGTTTAAGCCATTTATAACAGCAGTGTAAAACCTTGTAGAAAATTTTCAGATCTGTTTTCTAGAACTGATCCTGAAAATGCCTTCCAGTAATAAAATTCTCTTTTCCCTTAGGTTTCTTCAAAATATTCTGAGCTCCTTCCCACGAACTTCCTCTCTTTTTCTTGATGGCTTATCATTTTTGACACAAAAAGGTTACCCTATTAGTAATACTCAGAGGATCAGCTGAATTCCAAAATAACTAATTCTTCCTGCATTGCTAAGAAATTCTTGTGGTTCCTGGGAATGTAAGTGGCTCCGAGGCATTGGTATACACTGAAGTGTAATAATCTGTCACTATGTTGGTCCTCAGACTAAATCTCTTAATAATGAATAACACTGGTGAGTATGGAGAAAGCAGTGTTTCTCTGGGCTGTGATCAGGATAGCATGACAAACCAAAAACAAGACTACGTGTAAAGCTGCACAGCAAAGTTTTAAAAATCATATCCAGGCTAACTAATAAACCCATATTAGTTTAAACTATTTATGTGAACACATTTTCTAATCCTTCCAGATAATATGTATTTTTAACTGACTTTAATAATCAAGGAAAAAGTCATTCATTATTTGGGGGAAATGAAAAATAAGACATATTCTTTATCATATCATTTTAGAAGTACAGAAAATAGGATGAAATTAAATCTTTTAAGGGAAGGGAAAGAGCTCTGAAAATAATTTCTTTCCACATTTTTATGGTCATGACACAACCTTAGCAAAATCTGCAGCCAATACTAAAATCAGCAAGTAAGGACTTAATTTTGGGGGGAAAAAAAAGTATTCAAAGCATTCAAGGAACAATACTGGCATTTCTTTAACTTGAGATTTTATTCCAATCACTAACAAACAGCCATTAAAGAGCTGCTTACTGGAAACCAACATATACTTCATGTTGTCTTTGTCACTGTTTTCAGGGACCTGTAGAAAACAGAAACACTGCACAGCAGTAGAGCTTCTTACCCAACCATGGGATCTAAGACAATAGCCCGAGGTTCCTCTAAGTCTTCAGAAATCAAGATCTTCCTCATGGTCCCATTGAGCCTTGTCACTTCTATCCGATCAGTGCCAGTGTCCGTCCAATAGAGATTCCGTGCAACCCAGTCGACAGCAATACCATCAGGATGTGCAATTTGGGCAGTGACCACAAACTGACTGCCTGATCCATCTATGAAAGAGCGGCGGATGGCCCTCACTTCATCATCAGTCCAATAGATATAGCCTTCCACAGGATCATAATCTATGGCAATGGCATGACGAATGTCTTCTAACTGCAGAACGATGTCTGTAAAATCCGGTGTATCCAAAGAAATACGTCTCAAGTCTGTCCTTCGGGCTAAAAGCAATAATTCAGTGGCACCTAAAGCAACAAAGTGAAATGAAGAAGAAATCATCTAAAACTCAGAGGCAAAATTTAGCCACTCTAAGTAAAAAATGCAGAACTTCTTCAGGAATTGAAAAATAGATGAGTATAAAAGGATACTAGGTCTATTTACGGTGGGTAAGTAATGTAGTGAAACAGGAAGAGTCTACTACGAGATCAAGCTCTATAATGGCCGAGCTCTCTCCAAATCAAGTTGCGATCCACTCTCTGGTTTCATTCATTGCATAGCCCCTAGAATTAAACAGCTATTTAAAGGTACAATGAATAATGGCTAAGTAATGACTATGAAGCTAAGCAGCTAAGTATTAAAGGAGGGAGACATAAGATATTGAACCTTGTTCAAAAAGTATGTTTAAAAAGGTAAAGAAATACAGGACAAAGATCTTTTGAGGATGATGAGAATGTTCTAAAACTGGATTGTGGTGATGGCTGCATAATTCTGTACACTTACTAAAAATCACCAAATTGATTAAATTAAGAAGGTTGATTTTATGATATATAAGTTGTTGTTTTTTAAAAAGAAATAAAGGGCAAAACCTGACAGAACTAAGAACAAAAAAAGCTACGGAAAACGAAACAGCATCAGTGGAGAGATGGACCCAGTAAACATAACACAATCGTTAAGAATAAGAGTTGAGGATCTGATAGAACTGGGTTCAAACAGCTATACAAACTTAGGTAAAACACTTAACCTCTCTAAACTTAGTTTCTTCATTTACACCTGATAGGATTACTGTAAGGATTACAGATAATAAACATAAAATTCAGGACGGTACCCATCATATGTTGCTTTTGTTGTTGTTAGGTGCCATCGTTTGACTCATAGCAACCCCATGTGACAAAGCAGAACCAGCCCATAGAGTTTTCTAGGCTGTAATCTTTACGGGAGTCAGGTCTATTTCCCACAGAGCCACTGGGCAGATTCGAACAGCCAACCTATTGGTTAGCAGCCAAGCGTTTAACAGTTGAGTCACCAGGGCTTCTTATAAGTAAGTACTTATCAATATTAGTTGGAGGTTCAAATCCACCCAGAAACGCCTCAGAAGAAAGGCCTGGCAATCTATTTCCAAAAAATCAGCCACTGAAAGCCCTATCGAGCACACGGTTCTACTCTGACACTCACAGGGTCACGATGAGTCGGAATCAATTCAATGGTAGCTAGTTTAAATAATAGTTAATGCATTATTACTACTATTATTAGAAAAGAAAGACTTTCAAATTTTCATTTCACTGAGCTTTAAATCTGATTATTTTAGGAAATGTTCTGAACCCAAATTAGGATTCAATGACAATATAGCTGAGAATAAGGACATTAAGCTCTACATTTTTTGTTTTGATTTTTAATGTTCTAGTAAATCACCAGCAAAACAATCACCTAACTATAAGAGGCTAATAAAAAATAGCAAACAGATTGACAACTGAAAGAGCAAGAAAAGATTCGTAGCCAATGAAATGAGTCCAAAAGTGTTTTTTTTCCCATATTCACTTCAAGCAGCAATGTGGAATCATAGTGGACAAACTGAGAAGAGGAGTGAGGCCTCGCAACATCAGCTTTTGACTACAGCACTAATTACAAATAACTATAACTTGGAGAAAATACAGCCCAAAATGCCATAGCAGGGTCCAGGTAGGAATAACTTTGTATAATTTACTGCCCCTACTAACTTCGAAAGGGAGCCAGCTCAAAACTCTGCAAACAAAGAAGTCACAGAAAGTGGAGTTGTTAATTTGAGAAGGTGATCAAAACAAAATAGTTCACTTAAGGCTACTATGCCACTTCATGCCAAATGTATATCTGAAATTCAAAATACTAGTTAGACGCAAGCATTTGCACTGCTAAAAGGGAGTAAAACAAATCCTCTGTTTTAAAGTCAGGCTACGTTTTTTAACAAAAAAAGCAACACTACAAAAGCCTTTTGTTTTAAATTGACACCAAATTACTGTTTGCCATGGAAACCGTCTGACAAGAGTCAGCCAGCTTCACCTTTGACTATGAGGACAATTTATCAATGCCAAGTCATGACAAACATCCTGTACACGAACTCAATTCCATCTCTGCAGCTCCCTGACCCTCCTGCCAGAACTCTCGAACACACTCTTAAACAAAGGCTTCTGCTTTTCAGAGTCAGAGGAAGATTCTGCTAAGTATAACAATTTTCTTACAGGGTCTTACTGGTGGTAGAGAAACAGATGGTGATCCACAGAGATGAGCATGAAGAAAAACATTCACATTAAGAAGAAAAAGAGAAGACAAGAACTGGTGTCCTCTCAAACCAGAAGTCCCCTGAAGTGTTCTAAAGCAGTATACTTCTCCAACATCCCTCTTCTCCATAGGGAATTAGAGAGTAAGAAGAGGCAAAGTGTGGTTGGTAAGTATAACAGGAAGTTGCTTTAAACAGTACAACATGGAATTTTTCCTTCTTCTGAAAGCACTTCTCTGTTGTTAAAAGGATAATTTGAGATTATCAAGAATTTTTTTAGAAAATACATCTGTATATCTCCTGATATTCTTTATAGACAAAAGTTTAATAAACATTTTTCCTTGCACTTAGAAGTACTATTGTTAAAACGGAAACCCTGGTGGCATAGTGGTTAAGAGCTACAGCTGCTAACCAAAAGGTTGGCAGTTCAAATCCACCAGGCACTCCTTGGAAACTCTATGGGGCAGTTCTACTCTGTCCCATAGGGTCGTTATGAGTCGGGATCGACTCGACAGCAATGGGGTTTATTGTTAAAATAGAGTCACTGTGAGTCGGAATGGACTCGATGGGAACAGGTTATTGTTAACAAGTTACTCTTTATGGGAAGTGATACTCATTTCCATGAGAATCAACTGTGATATCAATGTATGAAATTTAACAGAAAAAATGGCGTTTTTAGTTAAAAATTGCATGTTACTTAAAATACTACAATAATTTGTAAATCACAGCCAGGTGATAACACAAAACACTTCTGTTATAAAACCATTTGTGAAAACTACTGAAACTAAGTCACTAGTCTCCCAAAGAACTGTCACCTACAGACTTATTACAGAAAAATAAAATAAATCATAAAAAATCTCAATTGTTCTCTAACTTTTTTCCTTCTTAGATACTATCTTCTTACCATCTTTGCAGGTTTTTCCATTCTCCAGGAGTCTGACCCCAGTTGGACAAGCACAGTGATAAAAAGGCTTGACTGGAGACATCAAACACAAGTGGGAACAACCACCATTATCAATTCCACATGGATTTGTAGCTGTCAAATATAAATCACACTGATTAATACATCAATGATTACAGACGACCTCCCTCGCTCTAGGTACACAAAGGTTAACAACCACAACATGAGCAACTGTGATGATCAAAATTATTACCAAGTGTCATCCAAACGCTTGAGTACCAGACCATCAGCAAGGAAGTGAATTAATCAACAAGAACTCATTTAGCATTTTATATCCAAAGGGGAATACACAAGAAGTAAAGCAGGGGGGGTCCCTGTCCTAAAAGAGCTTACAATCTAGTCAGTAAGTCAAAATTAACATACAGTGAAACTAGAAAACAATACAAAACAATTAAACTATACGTTATTTTGCACATTACAGATTATAAATGAGCACAGAGTTAAATGGAAAGGCTTCATGGAGAATGTAAGACATGACAGGAGGCTTGATGACAGGAAGCAGGCAGATACGAGGACATTTCAAATGTGGTAAAACTATATGAATAAAACCTTAGAGGCTATACACTGGGTGATATATTAAGGTGAATAATCTAACTGGAGATTAAGATATCTGCTGACTAATAGGAATGGAGTTGGACGAGCACAGAAAATGGGAACAGACAGTTGTGGAGGGCACTGAAAGCCAAGCTAAGTAGTAAGAATACTGGAAAATCATGCTTTGGAGAGGTTAATATTGAAGGGATAAGAAGAATGGATTAAAAGTGTGAAAACTGAGAAGCAGAGAAGACTGAATAGTAAACTAATAGAAACGATGGAAACTGAGAGAAAGGGCAGGACTTAAATAATATTTCATAGAAAAATATCAACATAAAATTGATACCAATGGAATATGAAAGATAAAAGAGAGCAATATCAAAGATAACTATAAATTCTCGAACTAGTAAAACATAAAGGCCCAACAATGCCCCTAAAAAAACAGGGAAATTTTTCTCTCAGTATCCATGGGTTAGCAATGGAGAACAGAAAATCCATACAAGTGATCAAACTTTTTCTTTTATAACACAAGAGTGACAGACGTGTTTAAAAACATTTTTACGAGCTTCATGATCACCAGATTCCAATGCAATGCATTTATTATTTGACTGTTATTGTTGTCCTTAGGTGCCGCAGAGTCGGTTCCAACTCACAGCAGTCCTATGTATAACAGAACAAAACACTGCCTGGTCCTGCGCCATCCTCACAATCATTGCTTTGTTTGAACCCATTTTTGCAGTCACTGTGTCAATCCACTTCATTAAGGGTCTTCCTCTTTTTCACTGACACTCTACCAAGCATGATGTCCTTCTCCAGGGATTCGTCCCTCCTGATAACACATTCAAAGTATGTGAGATGAAGCATTGTCATCCTCGCTTCTAAGGAACATTCTGGCTGAACTTCTTCCAAGACAGATTTGTTCGTTCTTCTGGCAGCCTGTGGTATATTCAGTAGTCTTTGCCAACACCATAATTCAAAGGTGTCGATTCTTCTTTGGTCTTTCTCATTCATTGTCCAGCTTTCGCATGCATATGAGATGACTAAAAATACCATGGCTTGGTCAGGCACACCTTCATCCTCAAAGTGATCTTTCCTTTTTAACACTTTAAAGAGCTCTTTTGCAGCAGATTTGCCCAGTGCAACATGTCGGTTGATTTCTTGACTGCTGCATCCATGGGTGTTGATTGTGGATCCAAGTAAAATGAAATCCTTGACAACTTCAATATTTCCTTCATTTATCACGATACTGCGTATTGGTCCAGTTGTGAGGATTGTTGTTTTCTTTATGCTGAGGTGTAATCCATACTGAAGGCTGTAGTCTTTGATCTGCATCAGTAAGTGCTTGAAGTTCCCTGCTTTCAGCAAGCAAGGCTGTGTCATGTGCTTATCACAGGTTGGTAATGAGTCTTCCTACAACCTTGATGCCACGTTCTTCTTCATATAGTCCGGCTTCTTGGATTACCTGCTCAACATACAGACTGAAAACATATGGTGAAAGGATACAACCCTGACGCACACCTTTCTTGATTTTAAACCATGTAGTATCCCCTTGTTCTGTTCAAACAACTGCCTCTTGGTCTATGTACAGGTTTCACATGAGCACAATTAAGTGTTCTGGAATTCCCATTCTTCACAATGTTATCCATAATTTGGATAATAATACTTGACTATCTCCCCATAAATGGAAGAAGCTAATACAAAGCAATGCATAATCCAAAAACCCTTCATTTTTGGCTATGGAACACAATCTGAAATACACTCAGACACATGCCAGACATTTATTTATACACAAGTGCCAAACACTTAACATTCTCATACTCCTTTTAAACCTAATTCCAGTCCTCTCTTAGTTCAATGTTGTCAGCAGTCACAGCCCAAGTCATCATAAACAGCTAAAGTTTGACCAAATAGAAGCAAGAAAAAGGGAAGGGGGGTACACACAGAAAAGGTTAAGGAGATATTTTCTACCGCAAGTTGAAGTACTTAAATCCATCAGCTAGGTTAATAGAGGTTTGCATTCAAGAAAATTATTTGTTTTTTCTTTAAACATATTCACATGACACACACTTCAACGTACACTGAACAGAAATAATATAAGAAATACATTTGTGCACAAGTGTAGCATTTGAGCCGTCTCAATTTTTTATTTTATTTCTTTCATCTCCACCTCCGTATCACCCTTCCCAAACAAAGGTTGAGGTGGTCTGCAGTGCTGGATCTCAAGCTATAAATGACTTAGGATATTGTTTAATCTGATTTATATTTTGGATCTGTCCTCCCTTCTCCTGCTGCTCACGAAAGCCAGACACCAGAGTGCTACAGAGCTCTTCCAACATACAATTTGAAAATCAAGATCACTTACCATTTGGCTGCCTCTGTTGGCTGAAGGCATGTATATCCATGGGAGAGAAGATGTTAGAATGGATTTCACGCAGACCTTTGCCAGTGTACTTGTTGCAAGCCAAAATAGAGTGTGTATTCCAGTCAGTCCAGTACAACGTGTCCTCAAACAACGTCAAGGCAAAAGGATGTGGAAGGGAACCTTTAACCACTGCCTGCCTGTTAACACAGAGAGAAAAACGCAACTTATTCCTAAAGTTTCTTTTTTTATCGTAACTTCATCTCTCCCATTAAAATGGTCTTATAGTCCACGTTAACACAGCCAAATATTGAGTAACACGTATCTTAAGGTCAAATACACAGAAGAAAAATGACACACACAGTATAATTCAAATATATTTTCATGTCATGTTTCTTGCTAAAGAAACAAAGACCCCAACCAAGCACTACAGAGTGGTCTTAACTTGGCAGCAGGCCCCAGAATCACTACAACCTAGCAGACAGAAAGAAAGTCCAAGTGTTAGTACTGCTGTCAATTCCCACTCCTCAGTGACAACCTCTGTACTCACATCTTCCATCCTGTCACATAATTCCCTCTATCAGAAGGAGAAAGGTTGAGCAATAAGAAAAAATCTCTAAAACTGCAGTTGGCAATAGGAAGTATATTTAAATTTGCAACAGGTTTTTTCCCTTCCTAAGGTGGAAGAAAAAAAGAACTGAGTCTGTTTCTCCCATCACTTTCTACAGTTTTGGTAACTAAGAGTAAAAACGTACACATGGAGCTAAAAAAGCATTCAGTTAGCAATCTTCCTGCAAACCCCTGCCTAGCCAATGATCATCTCAGCCGGCTTTCTGCTATACTTTTACTTAACCTTCTCAAGTCAGGCAGCCAAAAGGAAGTTGTGCCACTAAAGATGTGCTCATGAGACAAAGCAGAACCAAAATTTTCACAAGCAATACGTACTATCTAAAAGGAAAAGAAGATAGCCTGAGTTTAGTTCTCGAGGCAAAGAACTCAGGAGAGTGTCATGCAGACTTACATAATTAGTAAATACTCTTGAATAATGAATAAACTGTATTTTGCATTTCAAAACAGTATTCAATAAAATAAATGCTTTTATATTTTCATAAACTCATGATTTCCAAATAGCCTAGCCTAGATAAAGGAATATTTTAACTATTAAGAAAAAAAGAAAAATGAACACGTAGCAACTAAAGAGAAACAGAAAGTATTATATATTTTATAAAAGATGACTGAATTTTTAGGTCCTCAAAGTTATTTGATGATCTTTAATATCTAAGAGAATTTTTGTCAGTTACTGTCAAGTCAGCCCGAGGCACAACAGGATCAAACTGTTGTAATCCATAGAGTTTTCATTGGCTGATTTTTGGATGTAGATCACAGGACTTTCTTCCTAGTCTGGCTGAGTCTGGAAGCTCTGCTGAAACCTGTTCAGCATCATGTTGTTGTTGCTGGTGGGTGCCATCAAGTTGATTCTGACTCACAGCGATCCCATGTGAAAAGACCAGCACTACCCCATACGGGTTTTCTTGGCTGTAATCTTTACAGAAGTAGAGTGCCAGGTCTTTCTACAGAGGAGCAGCTGGATGGGTTCAAAATGCCAATCAGGGCTCCTTGTTCAGCATCATAGCAATACACAAGCCTCCACTGACAGATGGGTGATGGTTGGAAATCAAACCTGGGTCTTCCACATGGAAAATGAGAATTCTACCACGGAACCACCACTGCCCACTCAGAGACTACCACCAGTATATTAAATTCAAGAGCAATGAGATTATTTTTCTCTATGTAGGATTACTATCTGTTATTATACATAGAATTGTCCTAGTCTAATGTGTTATCAATTCAGGCCAGAATTTTAAAAGTTTAAAGACATAATTAGCATGAATAGTTTACCACACAAACAAAAATCCTTTGTATTTCATCAAATAAAAAGTTACAATTCACTCAAATGAATTAGACCCAGGAGAATAAACAAACGGGAAAAACAAAACCTCTATAAGCTGTACTCACTGAATGTACCGACTGAAAGCACAGGGTTGGAAATCAGAGCTGAGTTCAGTTCTTTTCTCTGACAATACTTAATCATTTCTGCAAACTCTGATTTTCTAATCTGTAAATGGAGGATAATCTACCCTCACTGAGTTACTGTAAAGATTGAACGAGCTAATATATTCAAAAGTACTTGGCACTATGCTGGATACTTGATAAACATTTCATACATGATTCTCCAATTTTAGAACACACATTTTCAATATTTTAATATTCCTGACATGGGGGTACATTTTACACTTGAAGTGAACATTACATAAGGTAGTTTTTAAACCAATAAATTCTTAAAATCAACAGCTTATGGGAAACAAATAAATACTATACTAACAATTTAAATGTCACTTCCTTTTCATAGCCTCCTTAATCTGCTCCCCTATAAGACAAATTATGTGTTTCTTCCCTTATGATCTCATAATAGCTACTGGCTTGTTTTATAACTGTTACTTATCCAGCAACTCTATAACTGACTACCTTTTTGAAAATAGGAATTCTGGCTTATTATATTCCCAAAATCCTACTCAATGCTATGTGTACAAATTAGGTACACTTACTAAACACTCAGTAAGTGACTGATAAAATCAAATGTCTTAAATGAAAAATATGCTAATTAACAGAGCTGAACAAAAGCGGAGCTAAGAGGAGTATTACTCAATCCTGTCATATTCTTTGGTGATTTACTGATTCATCCTGCCAACTGACGACTTGTTCCTGAAAGTGGAGCTAACCCAACACAGTCTTCATTTTTCTTCGCCTTTACTGAGATTACCAGATAGGCCTATCTCCTGGTTTCTCCCTGGAAGCACAAGTTATTTCAAAGAAGAACTGGATCATGGCTACTGAGAGCAAAAGTGGCAGGCAAAAACCAGAGCCTAGTTCTTCAGCAGTATGCCACAGCAATAACAGGAGCTAAAAAACAGATCCCTACTATGGAGACCACAGGAAAGAAACTGAGACCTACCCCAACCCCTGCCCAAAGACATTTTGATTTAGCGCAAGCAACCTCTGAGCATCATTTCCTGCCTGTGTCTGTTACCTTCTGCAGCTTACTGACAAAGCTGACCCCCCATCTCCCCAAGTGCATGAGCCCTATTGCTATCTCTTTTAAATTCCATGCCTAGCAGGCATCTCTTTCAAATTCTGTGCCAACTTATCTTTTATTAAACACCTGTACACCCACATTCACCTTCTCTGTTTCTAGACCAACCCCCAGAAAGTCATCCTCCACCCCTCATCTCAGAACTCTCCACTTATGTGAGTAATGAACCTTCCTCTGACCACAGCAAAGGACTACTATTATGAGTTTTGAAATCAGAACCTAACCTTGGAAGGGAGCTTCCCCACATTACAGTAAAGCAGTTAGAACACCTAGGAAGATGGCATCAGTGGTGGTAGTACCTTCTGAAAAATCTCCACAAATCTTTCATATGAAAACAGAATAACCAGATAACAAAACCAAACTCCCATGAACAATATTCGCAACAAAGTAGGTGACAACGTATCCCACAAACTCCAAGCCACAAAACGGTGTGGAAAACCAACAGCATGCCAGAAAGACATAGCCACAGAACAAATAAAAGTTAAAACTGATTTCAAAGACTTTTAAATAATATGCCAGTCAACAAAGAAGAATTAGAAAACTCCAATTTGAGATGACAGAACTGATGAAAAAATTAAAAACAGAAAAATAAACCAAGCAGGAAGATAGTAGGATGAGCAGGTTTAAGATCCAACCCTCCCACATGAGCAACAAGAAATCTGTAACCATACTCTGTAAGAACTTTAAAAGTGGAGGACTGCAGCAACTAACTTTATGCTAAAACAACAAAAAGCTGACTTTTAAACGGTAGAACTTTTTTCTCCTACTGTCTCTGCTCCCCCGCTGGCAAGGAGGTCCCACAAGCAGCAGACCTTGGTATGTGTACTCACACAAAGCGGGGACCGATCTCTGGCTCTGCAGTGAGCTGGGCAGACGGCTGTGGGACTGTTCAGTGTATCTGTTGTGATCCATCTGGCCTACACTGGAGCTCACAGAGGGCTGGGAAGGGAGTGGCAGACAAAGACTGAAGGCTGTGATCATCAGGTAGCTTTCTTGCAGACATGAGGACTTTCAAAAGCAACCATGAATACAGAAGAATTGAGAAAATCACACACATACTGAGGTAATGCACTGTAATAGTCTAAAGTCTCAGATTCAACAACAACAACAACAAAAAAATCACACTAAGAAATCAAAAAGTATGGCCCATTCAAAAGAACAAGATGAAGGGAGAGAAACTGTCTCTATGGAATCTTAGATAATGAACAAACTAGAAAACTGTAAAACAACAATATTAAGCATGCTCAAAGAATTAAAGGAAATCAGGAAAACAATACATGAACAAAACGAGAATATTAATGAAGAAATAGGCAAGTTACGGACCGAACTGTGCCCTCAAAAAAGAAATGTGGAAGTCTACTCTGTACTGTAAATATGACTGTTTATAATTAGGGATTTTCTTTTGTTATAATAATGAGGTCATACCAGAGTGGAGAGTGGTTCTAAACCTTATCACTTCTGACTGGTTTCTTACAAAAGGAGCAGAACAAAGAGATACACACAGGGAGAAGACAGACGCCACGTGAGGACACATCTACAAGCAAAAGAATGCCAAGCACTGCCGGCAGAAACTAGGAGAGAGGCCCACAGAAGAAAACGACATAGTCAAAACCCTTGTTTGGACTTCAAGCCACCAAAACTATGAGACAATGAATTTCTGTTCTTTAAAGCCACCCATTTGTGTTATTTTTATTACAGAAGCCCTAGGAAACTAAGACAGACACTATAAAAAGGAACCAAACAGAATTACTGGAACTGAAAATACAGTAATGGATATGAAAAATTCAATAGAAGGGAAGAAAAATGAGGAAGTATAAGAAATAATCAGCAAACTAGAGAATAAGGCAACTGAAATTATTGAGTCTGAAAAAAAAAAAAAAAACGGGGTGGGGGGGAGTCAAGAAAGCTGAGCAAAACCTAATACAACTGTGGAGCACCATTAAACAAGCCAACATGCATGTCATGGAATTTCAACGAGAGAAAGGGACAGAAAAAAATATTTTAAAAAATAACGGCATAAAATTTTCAAATTTGACAAAGGACACAACT